TACCTGCAAACAGGTTCCACGCACCCACAAGTTGGTCTTCCTATTTTTGATGTTGGTATCAACAGGCGAAATGGATGGAGAGCAGAGGGCATCCTGCCAAATCTAAAAATATACCCATGAAATGAATTATTTATGTTGAGATTTATGTATTCAATATTATTTTCTAACAGAATAGTGAGTCGAAATAAATATATGTCCATTAATACCTACAACAATTAAAAAACAGATTATGGATGGGTTCTCATTAAATTATGTTTAATCACTTTCAAGACTCCAACAGTATATTTTCTCAAAACATGCCAGTAAGACACAATTTTTATACAATATACACTGTGATTGACATAGCCCGTGCATTAGAATTCAATTGAATTGCAGGTGAATTAGTAGATATAGCATCTAATCCACCTGCAAGCTAACGGGCTACATAAATCACCCTGTATATATGTATGTAATGATAATTTATTTCAACTGTTGACAATAATTAGGCATCAAAATTGATCAAAAGTCCCGAAAGTAAATTAGTTATAAGATAATGGAAGTAACTTTGAGGAAAGAATTCTATACCTTCTTATTTCATTATTCTTCTAATAATCTTTTTCTTGGTTTAAAATTTTTCTGACTTTTTGGAATTTTCTGCTTTTACTCATAGGTACCTATTTTATTTTCATTATTCATTCTCCTAGGACATGTTCTAATAAGTGTGGGGATTTGTTTGTAATTTATTTTGGATTTGAATAATTATTGATTGCATTGTCAATTTTTGTCTATTCCAGGCGCTAGGCTCTCTAAAATAATTCTGAGGTTCCTAAATAGTTCTGAAGCCTTTCAAAATGCTGCTGGAAAGTGTTCTGGAACGTTCTGAATGGCTTATTGAAGTTCTAAAGTGTTCTAACTTGGCTTGAAGAGTTTTCAGTCATTCCTAAATTGTTTTAAGTAATTTAGAGCTCTATATTGAAGCTCCAAAGTGTTTTAAATTGGTTCAAAAGAGTTCTAAAAGGTTTCCAGTTTTAAATTGAATCCTAATTTTGTAATTTTTCTGAAAGTTTCTAAATTGTTCCAAAGTGCTCTCAAAAATTCTGATTTGGATTTGAACTGTTTCAAATGCTCATTAAAGGTTTGAAGTTTTTCAGCAATTTAAATTTTCTGCTGGCGTTTTGTAACTTTTACCCTGAATCCCAAGATTCTGACTGATGTTTAACAGCTAAAAGTTAGCGGCCAAACTGCCGAACATTGCCGATTGATCAGTGGCGTCAGTTTTTTTTAAATTTATTTTATTTTATAACTTTTCATAAAATTTCAAATACCTATGCACCCCCTTAAACCACCTTCAAAGTTATTTGCAAGTCTTTTAGGTACCCTAAACCTCGCCCTAAACGGCGTGTATTGGTACCTATTGCATACAAGTTCCAGTACCATTTGTGTCCGACACTAGGGTGGAAATGTTCATATTTTCATAAAAACCCTTTTTTCCATGAATTGCAATTATTAGTTTTAATCCCTTAAACCACCCTCAAAGTAATTTTCAACTCAATTGAGGTTCTCTAAACAGCGTATATTGGTACTGTTATTTAGAACTTAGGTTAGTTATTTTAAATGGATTACATATTATATATATTCTGTCATCTTTCTTATTGTAATATCCGAATTCTAGCCAAATAGAAGAGTAAAATTAGTTTTGTCCGTGCAGAAGAGAGGGTTTTTGGTTCCTTCACAAAGTGGGTTACAGTATGCGCATGTGCACAACGTATTTACAATAATTTGAGGCGGTATATTTAAGATTTTTGCTCGGATTTTTGTGTATATGCAACATTTATTTAGTGGTGTTTTCAGTTGGTAGTTCTAATTTGTGAGAGAAGCCAAGTTCTTTTGACTTAACATCATAACAAAAGTCAAGGGCACTCAAATCTAGATAATAGAGTGGCCCTACTAATCCAACATTAAAAATTATCGACGATTGCGCCGGTAAATAGTCCAGCTGAGAGAAGCATTTTTTATATTTATCAATTTCCTCTCAACTTCTGTATACAGGAACCACATTTTTCATTAAAAAAAAGTACCTGACATAGAAATTTTTTATCTCTCTATCCAACTTATTTATGTGTTCATTTATGGACTTATTTCAGTGTTCCCCCAACTTCTTCCCACTGAACATCCTGGAATCTTCTTTCTACCCCAAAGTCTCCGGATCTCATCCACTTATTATCACTGTGTTTCAAATTGTATTTTAATTTCGTATAAGATTATGATACAAATGTGTCCAGGCCAATCTGGTTCTTCTGTCAATACTGTTCCCTCATAGTTTGCCACATTTTCCAGTACCATTTGTACCCAAGACTAGGGTGGAAATATCCATATTTTCACAAAAACCCTTTTTTGGATGAATCGCAATCGAGGGGTTATTCACTCCCCGAAATCGTGTCACAAATTCGTCCGAAATCCCCGAAATCTTTCAGAAATCTTTCCGCAGACCCAAAAATCCCTCGCAATTGGCCCAAAATTCATAAATCGGTCAACGCGGCCGTTTTTTAGTTTATGCTAATACACTTTTGATATACTTATAAAATAAGTAACAGTCTAAAATCAAATTAAAATATTTGCGAAATCACCTGAAATTCTCCGAAATCGCCCGAAATCCTTCGAAATCACCCGAAATCCTTCGAAATGAACCGAAATCCTTCGAAATCAACCGAAATCCCTCAAAATCGCTCTAAATCTGAAATCTTGTCACAGTGAATAATCCCTCGAAATCTTTCCGAAATCCTACCGAAATCCTTCGAAAACAACCGAAATCAACCGAAATCCCTCAAAATCGCTCTAAATCTGAAATCTTGTCACAGTGAATAATCCCTCGAAATCTCTCCGAAATCCAACTGAAATCCTACCGAAATCCTCCGAAGTCACCCGAAATCCCTCAAAATCGCTCTAAATCCGATATCTTGTCACATTTTTCCCTTAGTGAATAACCCCTCCATCGCAATTATTAGTTTTATCTCGGTTTTACCCTCTTAAACCACCCTCCCTCAAAGTTATTTGCAAGTCTTTTCAGGTACCTCTTAAACGGTGTATATTGGTATTACCCATACTATATAAATGGTTCTAAATTGTTCTTAAAAGCTACAGAATGCTTTTGGAAAATCTCAATGGAATTTTAAGTGTTTTGAATTTTCTTGGATATTTAAGGAATTAGGAGTAGTGACGAGAGGAAAAGGAATAGTTGTCGTTTCAAAAGAACAAGGTAGTGTCGAAGGAATATTACAAAAATTCAAGGCTTCAGAAGCTTCAGAAAACGCAGGTACAGCAGTGATAGAAGCTTTAGCTGCATCTTCAAAGGGACTTCAAAAAAGTATCAAAGACGCTAAAATCCAATATCCAAGAGAAGAAATTTCAACTATTGCTTTCGCAGAGTTTCAACAAATTTCCAAGAAAGCATTTGAAGATGTATAAGTGAGTTTGAAGCTCTTTCGATTGTCAAAAGATTTGAAGAAGAAGGTGCTGCTCGTACAAGTTTAAATTTCAAAAAAATTTGCTTTAATGAGAGCTGGAGCTGCAACTGTCAAGTCTGATAAAGAGACTTCCGAAGCTAAAGACGATAACAAAGCTGGAGCATCTGCACAAATCTGTACAGAGTCAGATCAGACAATATCAGAAATTGACACAAATGAAGAAACTAATAGCAATGCAGCAATTCGTTAAGGGCAAATTGAAATCAAAACACCTCAGAAAATTGGAGAATTCAATTGAGCTTGTTGTCTAAGAAATATTTCTGGAAGCTGTCCAATATGAAGATAATGCTGAAACAATGAAAAATGATTAAATAATTGATGGGACAAATTCTGCGCCTAAAGCTAAATCCATAATCAACTGAATAATCAGTTATTGTTTTAGAAAAAATTGTAAAAATTTTCAAAGGTGAAGCAAAACCAAATGAAGAGAAAACTTAGAATGAGCTTATCAAGCTTCAGAATCTAAAAAAATCAACCGCGAAACAAGATGGACTAGTCCTCACTTTATTCAAATCCTTAAAATTATCAATTGCTTTGATAGAACAGCAACTTCTTTCAGAAGAAAATCGTGCTGCAGTCAAAAAACTTGAAAAATCAATCACTGAACATCTACAAGCTGCCCCATAAACTGTAGATCTACAACAAGGGTAAAGTGATTTAGAAGTTGCTGAAGAAACCTTGTCAGAAATTCACAAGTTAAGCAATGGCTAGACTCAGAATTGATGCTAAATTATTGAAAATTTTGGAAACTCACCAAGTCCAAGTTGGCAGATAACAAAGTCGTTAATCTAGCAAAAACGAAACCAAAGCATTCCAGAAAAATCCTAAAAGTTCAAGATAAATCATACAAGAGAAGAAGCTAAAATTGGAGCAGATTTATCAATCCAAACGACGGATTTTTTATACCCAATGTGGGTATGACATAATCATCACCAGACAAAATTATAAACTTCAACAAAACTGGGTAATTTTTCTCTCTCCGTGTACCAGACTCATGCAATAAAAGCAAATTAGTTTTATTTTATGTAAGGATTTCGCAACAACAAGGTTTAGTAGTCATTCTTCGGTCTGACATAGAACACCTAAACAACCGGTTTCAGCGTGTTCAACCATTGTTACTTTCTAAAAAAAAAACTTTTCGAATTATGGTGATAGTTTCAATTGTGTTTTAACTGTTTTCTGGCTATATGAACTAGACTGGAACCTTTCTCGTTGATGTGTATAGGAACATGTTCCATTTTTTATTTTTGTGAAACAATAAAAATAATTATTATTCCAGTATTGTTATCAAACAAATTACCATAAAAATATGTGGCAGTATTATCAAGTTTGCTGCAATACTTAAATGAGCATAGGAAATCCAATTACAACTGACAAAGTGCCCCGGCATTGTTCAGGCTAAAAAAAAACAAACATGATGTAAGCTTATATAGGAAATTTACTTTTGATTCAAAAAAATAATAACTATAATATCTAAAATAATTATTATTGTTGCAGAGAGGAACGAGAGAAAGTGCGAGTGACATTTTTCCAACAATCGAAACCGCAAGAAGTCGACCTGCCGGATGATCCGCCGTTTTGCGATCACGAGTTTGTCATGTCTTCGCCCGTGTTGAAAAATGACGTCAACCATGTCGCTTACAACAGAACTGAAAGGTAAAAATAATAATACACTCTATACAGTAATTGTTTTGTAATAATTTTTATTAATGAAATTGGTAGATTAAGTTCAAAATTCACTTGAAAGCACATTGTTTGATGACTTCCTGATTTACAAACTACCCGCTTTATATATGCAAAACCATTCAATCAAGAAACTTCTAGAATTCTTACGTCACGTCTCGGTATAGATAAATTCGAGGTCTTTTCAGCTGCAGATTTATTAAAAATCATTCTCAAACTTGATTTAAATGTAAAGCAATCCTCCTATTCCTACAACAGGAGGTATTTCACCCCTTATTCCATTATTTGTTGGCCTATCAGCTCTAGGAGCACTAGGTGGGGGTGTTGCTGGTATAGCAAAAAAAAAAAAAGTAAATGATGAAGAAACGAGCAAGTCTGGAGTGAGACACTGATGTGTAAACAAACATCTCGAGTATGTAATTTCCAAACAACCAAAAACTATGCACACTTGAAATTTATCCACAACTTTTCCATGGTTATAGTCTTTATTTTAGACATCGTCATTTGAGGTAGATCAGTAAAGGCCGCCAACCTTTATTCATCAAGTTTCCCTGACACACTTCTTTTCACTTTTAGAATTCTCCCATGAATAATTAAAATCAATTTCAAAGTTTTCAAGAAAGATTGTTACAAAGTTCGAGCCCATGCATATCAAATGGCACGTCCAAAGAAAAATTAAAAATGTTGATGAAACTTTTCGTCCCTTTTGTAACGCTGTCAACTTAGGTCGTTTTCCGAAAATTGGGGCACAATGCATCATCAATTTCCAACAAGTCATCTGACCTTTTGCGTGCAAATTGTGAGGAAATGGCCATTTGCTTTTCAACAAACGGAGTGAATATAGGTTAATTTCCTTCTATTATTATACCTCGCCTTAAACTGGAAAATATGTTTCATAAAGCAAGTAAAATGTATATTGGAACCCTAGTTTATGGATAAATTTCAAGCAAGTTAAATGAAGTTTTCTCATCAGACTCATTTTAATCAAAAATTCACCGAGGCGCGAAATAAGAATTTGCCTGGAAATGGATTTTCGGATACCCTCGAGAAATTGACAAAATGCTATTTGGTTGTCAGGCAAAAATGCGCTTATAGATGCAAAAAACCCATGTGGTTTTACATTACCATATATGACATTGGATTGCTTAGAATTATGCGGCTCAGTTTTCACAAGTTTAAAAATACTTCCTAACGAGAAATTACAGATGAGGTGAGTTTACTGAAGAATGCTTGATTTCCTATTGACACTGACCCTTATCAAATCTGTGTCAACCTGTGGAGGCACATCAGAATGGGATTTTAATAAACCAAATGGTAATTTAATACTAAATTAAATGAAATTGACCTGCCATTAGCAAAAGGTCAAGTGATTTAATCGTCGTTAATTATTTTAACTCGATAAATATTGTTACGAAAACAAGGTGTGGGCTTTCGGAACCATAGTATCGGTTCAATTAATGTTTTTGGGTGTGTAAACGACCAATGTTAACACCTGCTAACAGAGCATTTAGGTAATCAGAACAAGCAAGCACTTAGAATTAAATAGATAACTAATTGAATAGTTTATAATAATGAGGCAAGCAAATGAATTCCTAAATAGGTAAAATTGCACCAGTTACATATAAGGTGGTTAATTCTGGATTTTATATAAATTCAAACTTCTATCAGCTGAATTCTGCTGCGCGCCTCCCACCACATACGAGCTCCGGCTCCGTTTTCCAGTTTTCCAGAACGATCGATGGCCCAGTATTGTCCGTGGTTAGGGTAAGTGCGGAACCGGAAAATCGTTCTTGCCAGGTGACGATTATCCACCGTGAATTTTCTCTTTGTTTTAAACCGTCAACGATGAGTTTGTGTAAATTAAACACTTGATTGTGATTGGTTTAGGTTTTAGTAGTGCTAGGTTTCCTCTTTTTTCTCGAGTAGCTCATATAATGGGAAAATCATTTACATTTTAAAGGAACAGGTACTTTTGTTGACAGATGACGCAAATGTTGACAGATAAACAATGCAATAAACTTCACTTGTCCGCAGTTTTAGTGGTTTCTTGTATGAGGAGCTCTTTTAAGAAAAACATGATCGTACCACTTTAATTTTCCTGAATTTTCTCATCTTCTCCTTTTGAGAAATTATTTTTCATCTGGTATTTTGCCTTGTTGATTCTATCAGCTTGCTGATTTGTATTTATTTCTTCAGTAGCTTTGTTCTCAAAAATTTTTCACACTGACATTGTACTTGTTTCACACTGTATCCACACATGTTTAATCGTCATTAACATAAGCAATTAAAAACTGGCGGTTGAGCTTGTGTACTTACAGTCAAAGCGTTCGCACGCTATTTAAATTTAAAAATGATGCAATGTATAACATAATACCATATGACCTATGTGTGTGTTACAAGCGAGGATTTTGACCTGATGACCATGTAATTTTTAACATTTAGCGACAACTGATATTCCTGCGAACCCTTTTTGGTTCTCACCACGTATTATGGAACCTGAGAACTATTGAATTGCTGAAAAGTTTGCGTGCCAAAAGACAATTTTGAAGTAACCATAAGGGTGTGGTGGTACAATCGTAAAATATTAACTAGTTCAAAAAAAGGAATTTTACAGTTTGGTCGATGTTATAGTGCAACTTTTCAATTTTATTTTCTATGGTTTTACGACTGACCTTATTGCGTTTTATGTTGCTCGTAACAAATTGTAAAAAGCAATAAAGGGAACTATAAAAGGTGCTGAAAAATACGCTTCTTTTCAATTTAGTTACATTAATTCAGACTCTTCTTTCCAAAGCATCACAATCAGAATTAGATCTTTTCACCTAACAATGCAGGAATGATTTTCCTATGGTCTGAGGTTAAAACTTTCATCAAAGTTTTCATTAGAGTCCAGTTTTCTTATATTTGACACGTAACCTTCAAAATGAGCTTGTTTCTTTACAATCTTTCCATTCCAAATAAACGTCTCAAGACGTATTTAATCTGGTCAATTTTTACTTAACTTCTGTACTGCTTGGATCATGGGGAATTTCATGGTAACTTAAATTTTCTTTCTTTACTATATTTTCTTGAGAAAAAAACTAACTAGAGGCATTAAATATTCTGATTAGATTTGTAACATTGTACTGGTACAGGTTATTTTTGGTTAATTGTGTTGGCCCGAATTTTTGAAAATTTCTATTTGGTTTTTGCGGGTTATTGTGATAGTTTTTGTTTTTCTGTAGGGTTTTTTGTTTACTTAAACTAAACAAAATTGTATATTTGTTTCGATTTTCAACAGTTTTGCATCTGAGAAACTTCAAAATTGAATTTATCGAACATTGAACATTTTCCAAAAATGACACTGAGAGTTTTTGTCCAAATGAGCTGATGTTTTCAAAGACTGCAGTCCTCTACTGCGATAAAAATCGCTGAAAATTTTAGCTTTCTATCTTTAATCATAAGGTAGCTATCTCCTTACTAAAACGATGAAATTTCAAATTTTTTTTTTGTTAAGATTTTGTGTCCTAATGGTCCTTTAGGATCCCCCAAACTCCATATACTAAATTATTTTGAGATTTATAACTGGATTCTTTGAAAAAAGGCACTTAGAAAAATTGAAAAATTGATAAATCACCCCAAATTTCTTAACACGATTTTATTTCTGGAACTATAAGTCCAAATGAGCTGAAATTTCCAGGGATTGTAGTCCTCCCCTGGGATAAAAATTGCTGAAAATTTCATCTATCTGTAATAGAAAAAAAGTTATGTCTTTTCAAAGTTTTCCAAAATCTAAATCCTAAGTACTAAAACCTTGAAATTTCAAAATTTTTCTTGTTGTTTTCAGGGATTGTAGTCCTCTACTGGGATAAGAATCGCTGAAAATTTCAGCTTTCTATCTATAATAGAAAAAAAGTTATGACTATTCAAAGTTTTCCAAAATCTAAATCAGAAGGCAGTTAGCTTCTTACTAAAACGATGAAATTTCAAATTTTTTGTTGTTAAGATTTTGTGTCCTAATGGTCCTTTAGGATCCCTCAAACTCCATATACTAAATTATTTTGAGATTTATAACCGGATTCTATGAATAAAGGCATTCAGAAAAATTGAAAAATTGATAAATCCCCCCAAATTGCTTAACCCGATTTTATCTCAGGAACTATGAGTCCAACTAAGCTGAAAGTTTCAGGAATTGTAGTCCTCTACTGGGATAAAAATCGCTGCAAATTTCAGCTATCTATCTATAATAGAAAAAAAGTTATGACTAAAATGTTTCCACATTTTTTTCATAAATCACGTACCTGATCAGTCGCTAACTAACCTGTTCCGAATTCACGAAAACCTGGGGGTCAGTCGCTAGCCCCCCTGTTCCATGTTCTCGGGCTACCTAGTTAGGTTCCCAGTGTGACTGTTAATTTGCTACATATATCGGATCGTTCAAGTCTAGGAAGGGCATTTGCGAATTGTCAGTTTGTAATATGTAAATTGTAAATTCCATACTTGATTTTACCTATCTAGGTTTTTTTTTTTGTGTACAAGACATATTCAAAGATGTAATGTGAAGAAAAGATGAGTAGGTACCTACTTGCAAGCGCTTGAAGAAGTTCCTCACATCTTCCCTGATGTACCTAAGGCCTGCCACGAATCTTATTGCTCGTCTTTGCAATTTAAATATTCTTCCAGATTGAGGAGACTAACCCTATGCTAACAAACCATAATTTGCAGCTTTGACTGGATTAGGGAACATCGATTTTTTAAAGTTTTCAAAAAGATATATTTATTGATTCTGATATCTGAATTTTCAGAAACTTCATTCAGTTCCAGCTGTTCCAGCAGTTCCTTCTGTGTTGTGCAGTAAAAACAGCATTTCCTCAGACTTCCTCAAATTGAGCTTCAATCCGTCAACATTGAATCATTGACCCGTATAAACATGAAACATGCTCAAGGTTGAACCCTGAAATACCCGATGGTCAATTTTTTTATCGCTTATTCAG